TTCGGTTGTGATTATATTTTTTATATACTTTTAATATTTTAACGAACCTATTTAATATTATTCTTAGAGGTTTTATCATTTTATAATATTCATTACTTGGTGTATGTATGTTTCTTATGTTTGTTAATGTAAAGAATATTAATTTCCACCAAAAAAATGTAAAGAATATTAATTTCTATGTATCAATAGTTAGTTAGCGTTAAACCACAAACTTATAATCTTCAAATTAAGTAGATCGTGTATTCCATATTATTTGTTTTTTTCAAATTGTAAATACATTATTAGCAAAGAAAAATGAATAACTTAAGCCATGTCAACATTTTTCTTAAGATATGTCATAATTTTAGTCCAATTAAATTAAAACACCTAAGGAGATTAAATAATAGTACTTCTCTTTTAATAGGAAGGGGATTCACAAGTAATCAATAAGCTAAAAACTATTACATATTTTATCATGTTAATTTTTAAATTTACGCAACGCATGGGCAATCACTAATCTTATATAATATCTTAAGGTTTTTTAAACCTAAGCTGACTGCGACGTGTCTCTCAATTTCAACATTTGTCTACCCCTATTAATTTGTCTACCCCAAAATCTCAAGTAAAGTAAAGCCTCCAATGGAAAAACCATTGTGATTGCATTGAACAAAAAAACAAATAAATTATCATTAATGGCTCTCAATATCACTTATGAAAATTATGGAGAAATTCAACATGTTGTATTATTAGGAACGAAGCTTCATTGTGATGTTTTCTAATTATACAGAATTATCTAATTATATGGAGAAATTCAACAACATTGTATTACCTTTTCATCTTATTCTCAGATACTCAACCATTTAATAAAAAACTTTTAAAAGTTTGAGACAACCAGTTAGTATTGTTTTTAATAAACTAATATTTTGAATTTATGCATCCATAATCCATCTCTCTTTTTTTTACCTAAATAAATCGCTGCTTGAAGAATCACTATAACTCATGGTTTGAAACAAACACACTTTTTATATATTTTCCACAACGATAATGGATAACACAAAAGATAATATTCAAATTCACCAATATATTCTGAGCGACATTATGGACGAGGAAAAAAAATTGGAACAATTGCAAAAATGCTATTTTTGGTGTGTAGATTTGCAAAAATATCACTATAGGTTGTCTATTTGCAAAAATGCCACTAATTATGAATTTTTAGAGACTAAATCTTAAATTTTTAAACCCTAAAAAGTGTTTTGACCCCTAAAAACTTCCAATTCCTCAAAACTAAACCCTAATACAACATAGTTAACCCAAACATAAATGATATAATGAGTAAATAATTTTGAAAAAGTGGTATTTTTGCAAATATTTTGAAAATGTGGTATTTTTGAAAAATGACATTTCTCAAAATTTCTCAAAAAAATTACGCATTATAACAAGTAATCTATATATTGCATTTTTACCATGTTAATTTTTAAATTCACGCAACGCGACAACAATCCACTATACGTTGTTTCTCTTTACGTTGCAGCTTGACACGAAGTCGAGGTGATAAAGAACAAGCACCATCACCAAGACACTCAAGAACACTAGTATAGGACCAAAGATCCATAGCATCAGAGAAAAGCCTGCGTAGAATAACCTGTTACCTACCGTGTTGAGCAATAAACCTTTTTCGAACATCTCGCTGACATACTCAGGCGTGAGGAAGAAGCAACCAGAGGGATTAGGGTCTAAATTAGGTATGTTAATGAGAATGGCGACTTGGTTGAGGAAACGGATGGCTAGAGAATGGAAGAAGAAAGAGAAGATGAAGATTGTGAGAATTGTTAGGTATTTGACCGCTATTGCGAAATCTCCATAAGCACCATAAACGGCGTTGTTTAGAGGCCTCTTGATGCTGTAAGTGCTGCTTATGACCGCGGCTAGACCTGCGCAGAGTAGCACGCAGGTCGTAGCCATTAGTGTAGCTCCCATAATTATGTTACGCAATGTTTGTACCGCCAATATGTTTGTCTTCTGATTCTCCTAAGAAATTAAACCAAAAGACAGAAAAATCAATCTTATTGTATATATTTGTCATGTTATAAATATATATAGCTTACTAGATTAAAGACCCGCATATATGCGGATTTTGTAATTTGATCTCTTATAAACCCTATGTATAAATAAATATTTAAATATACAAAACAAAATTAGATCACCCGTTAAAGTAAATTTAATAAAAGTGCGAACGTTGTTGTAAAATCACTAATTGAGAATCATAACATTTTTTTATTAATTCTTCTGCTTTTGTTATTTGATTTAGAATTAATTTTTTTTCACATATTTTCAAATTATTAGTTTTTCTTATTCATATTTAAATTAGGTGTACTTTATTATTATTATTTTACTAATCAAATATCTATTATTAGATTACCCCATGAAGTGAGAGAGAAAAAATTGATAATGTCAGTACAAAACTACTTATAGAGAATTCTATCAAATG